ATAAAGGCAAACCACCTAGTGTGCTAAGGACTAAAACTAGCAGCATTAGAGCAGTAAAGTGAAAATAGGAAACCTACAGGAATGATCTAAAGCCTACTTAGGAGAAACAAAGCAGCAGACAGGACCCTTAGCCCTCTTGTGTCTGTAGGGAAGCCGCTGAATTAAACAGTCAGATTTACCCACATTATAAAATTTAGCAAAGCTTCCCCAAGATACCATAATAAAACTTGACCTTTCCAGTCAAAGGGCACTGGGAGGCCTCTCCCATGTCCTGGAGTTGAATGAGTTCAAAGACTGGCAATAAAGGAAAAAAAGAAAGCATTGAGGAGTGTGATGGGCACAAGCTTTGAAGTTTATCGAACGGTCACACCCAGCTTCTCCAGGACACGGACACCCTTTTCTTGGTACTCTTGTCGGGTCATCCAAAAGTTGTCTTTGTCTTTCATGATATCTGCTAGAACTGCACCGCCTAGGAATACCATGTGCTTTCTGCGGGGTGGATCTTCAATGCGGATCTTAAATTTCTAAAGGAGAAAGAGAAGATAATAAAACACTATGTATGCACAGTGCTTTCGCTTTTTCATATATTCTCTCAGTGTTACATCAGTGCTGTGATATAAACAGAACAGCAGGACTTGCTACCTGGGACACAGAGACATTTAGTAATTTGCCCAAAGCTCACATTTACGAGACCACATCATCTCATGTGCTTGGAACAGTCCTGATTTACACCTACTGTCCCATCAATCTAGTAACATCACCACTTGATTGATAAATTACACGACTGATCACCCTACTGAGAGACCAAGTATCAGAGGCATGACTATAGCCAGTTTTCCCATCCACTGGCAGATGATCACATGGGCAAGTCGCAACTGTCAAAGTCTGGATAAGAGGATTTGTATCATTTCTTCAAGGTTCAATGCTGCTTTGATTCTAGTCCAGTACAACGGAGTAAAATTGAAGTTCTTTTTTTTTTTTAAGCGAAGCTCACTTTCTAGTGCCTCAAATTCAAATGAAATGTTCTTAGAATAAACAAAGCCAAATATGGTCAAAAGAAACCATGGGCATGTCAGGGAAAATGAACACAGTAACCAAAATTAAAGACAACTGAGAAAAAAGTTTTCTACTTCTTAGCCCCAGTTGCTATATTTCTTAACCTTACTTGAGTTGGAGTCTCATTCTGTCGCCCAGGCTGGAGTGCAGTGGCATAATTACAGCTCAACCAGCTGGGCTCAGGCAATTCTTCCACCTCAGCCTTCCAAAGTAGCTGGAACCACAGGTGCACACCACCACGCCTGGCTAATTTTTTGATTTACTGTAAGGATGAGGGCTTGCCAAATTGTCTAGGCTAGTCTAGAACCACTGGGCTTAGGCAATCCTCTCACCCCACCTCCCAAAATGCTGGGATTACAGGAGTAAGCTACCACGCCTTCCGTAGCTCTGTAGCTATATCAACTGCCTAGAAAGGACACATCCTCATCTGTATGATGATTGGTCAACACCTGAAAGAGAAACCTGAAAATGACACAGCAGTTTTTATTCACAGTGTCACAATACTGCAAAAAAGAAAAGTAACTTTGTCAATTCTAAATTATTTGTCTTTATTTATTATTTTTTATTTTTTTTGAGTTGGAGTCTCCCTCTGTTGCCCAGACTGGAGTGCAGTGGCTGCTCCCAGCCACCGCAGCCTCGACCTGCTGGGCTCCGGCGATCCTTCCGCCTCAGCCTTCCAAGTAGCTGGAACTACAGGCGCGCGCTACCACGCCCGGCTAACTTTTTTTTGATTTATTGTAGAGATGAGGTCTCGCCTCCCCAGGCGGGTCTCAAACCCGCGGGCTCAGGCCATCCACTCACCTCAGCCTCCCAAAGGCGCGGGATTACAGGCTGAGCCACCGAGCCCAGCTTATTTGTCTTTATGTCACATAAAAGAACTGTAAGGATGTGATAACCTATGACAAAGAAAAACATCAGCTATTTTTTTTGAGTCGGAGTCTTACTCTGTTGCCCAGGCTGGAGTGCAGTGGCACACTCATAGCCACCGCAGTCTCTACCTGCTGGGCTTAGGTAATCCTTCTACCTCACCCTTCCAAGTAGCTAGAACCACAGGCAAGTGCCATCATGCCCAACTAATTTTTTGATTTATTGTAGAGACAAGGTCTCGTCATGTTGCTCAGGCTGGTCTTGAACCCCTGAACTCAGGCAATCCTCTCGCCTCTGTCTCCCAAAGTGCTGGGATTACAGGCTTGAGTCATTACGCCTGGCAGCTCATTTATGAACTAATTCCAAGATTAACCTACGGTTTTAACTGTTTTAATTTTTGCTTTTAGATAGGGGCCGGCAAACTTTTTCGTAAAGGGTCAGATAGTAAATACTTGAGGCTTTGCAGGTCTTGCTGACAACTACCCAAAAAGAGACTAGAAGGCAGTCACATACAATATGTGACAATGGGTAACACTATGTGAACAAGTGGGTCTGACTGTGCTCCAATAAAACTTTATCTACAAAACCTGCCAGTTTTGGCACAAGGGCTGTATCTGACCAACCCTGCTCTAAGGGAAACTTACCTAGTTCCTGAAGACACTGCTTCCCCTGCACATTCCCAGCTGGTTGCCATTTCTCCCAAACTACCTTCCGTTTAACCCTGGATGTCTGGTAATAGGAGTTCTTGCTCGTCACTCCTGCTTCTATCCACCTCCTCCCTGAAACTCCACAGCTCGCCGCAGCTCATTCTCTAGACTACTCCCATCTACCACTCCTCCTTGCTTAAGTCCTGATAGATCCCTGCAGATGTCCTTGGATCTCCAGGCTGTTTCTTCTATTCCCTGTCCTTGGTTTGTACACATACATGTTCTTTCCACCATTTCCTGACATGATCTGTAGCAATTTTGTACTTCCTCCCTTTCCTACTCACTTGGCAAAACAACTAAGTTATCAACTCTGTACTCCACACCTGCTCTCAAGCAGTCAAACAAGACAGGAAAGAAATGAAACGTCTTGCTTTAAATTTATCATTAACCTCAATGGAGTCCCTGGAGGCTTCGCAATCCCACTACATCCTCTATTCGCTCTTCCATTCTCCAAGACAATCATTCAAACCTTCTTCTCTATTTTAGACCTCTATCACCCCTTCCCTCCCCTCATGGCCTCCTAGTTGGTCTATGTCTACATTTGTTCACCATACCAGACTTGATGAACCTTTAAAAATATACATTTGATCTGATAATTTCTCTGCTCAAAACCCTCCCAAGATGTCCCATTTCACTAGGAGTCAAGCCAAACCCTTAACATGGCTGAACAAGACCTGCCTCCCTGCTGCCCTCCTGACCGTATCTTCCACTCCCTTCCCTTGCTACTCTGCTCCAGCCACACTGGCATACTCCCACTATTTGGGGCTTTTGCACTGCTCCTGCCTGGAAGATGCTCCCCCCAGATAGACACAGGGCTCATTCCTCTTCTACTCAATTCAGCTTCCTGATCAAAAGTTACCTCAAACAGGCCTTTCCTGACCACAGCTTAGGAAGGTGCAAATAACCTCCCTAGTGGCTGTATTTCTTAGCCTTACTTGATTTTTCTTATAACTGATGAATTATTTAGACTAAAAGCAGGGATTTTGTTTTGCTTGTCCCTAGTACCTAAAATAATGCCTGGCACCTAGGAGTTCAAAAAATGTTTGTTGAATAAATGATCATCTAAGATTGACTTTAAAGTATATGTAAAACTCAATAAAATCAGAAAAATGAGTCAAGTACTTAGACAGCAAGACTCCTTTCCAGTCTTTTAATTTGTTCAATGTATATAAGACCATACTTAATTTAATTTCAACAATTTGAGTCATATATGACAAATATAACATTTATGTCTCCAAAACACACAATACTCTGTAGTATGTAATCTCATCTAAAACAGTTTATCAAAATCAGAGAAACAAAGCTCAGAGATTAACACAGGATTAAATTACTTTTGGTTGAGTACAGAGCTCATTCAAAAAAGTCACATAGTCCAGAATTTTGGAAAATAATCATGCCAAAAGAAACATCAACTATTACATGCTAGTTTAAAAATTTCTCTCCTCTGGGCTCGGTGGCTCAGCCTGTAAGCCCAGCATTTTGGGAGGCCAAGGCGAGTGGACTGCCTGAGCCCGTGAGTTCGAGACCTGTCTCTACAATAAATTAAAAAGTAGCCGGGCATGGTAGCACACGCCTCTAGTTCTGGTTACTTGGAAGGTTGAGGCAGAAAGATCACCAGAGCCTAGCAGGTCGAGGCTGCGGTGGCCTGGAGTGTGCCACTGCACTCCATTCTGAGCGACAGAGTGAGACACCAACTCAAAAAAAAAAAAAAAAAAAGTCTTTCCACTGTATATACCAACTACCAACTGAAGTCTGTTTCCAGAGCTATGACAGCTATTGGAATGCAAAAGAATTAGAGAGATATTTTACAATCTGATTGGGAGAAATATGTATGCAGCAAATAGTTATAAAATAACCTAAAATCATTAATATGAGATAGCCCAAGAGAAGTGCTGAAGGCTGATTCATATCCAAAAAGTAAGTTAAAAACAACAAACCCAAGTGGGGCATTTACTTCCCAGGCACGTACATGCCATGCAGGTCGTTACAGCTGAACCAGAATGCTTGACCCTGACCTAGCAGCCTCAATCCACAGAATACAGAGGTAACCTGCAAGTACCAGCACTCGGGAACAGTTTACCTTGAATCATTTACTTCTTCCTATCAGTGATTTCCAGGCTGCACTTGACTGCATGCAGTAGGAATTTGTTCAGGAAGACTTCTTGCTCCCTCTAGTGGATGTCAATATTCACAAACGACAGGGTTTTTTTTTTTTTTTTTTGAGTTGGAGTCTCACTCTGTCGCCCAGACTGGAGTGTAGTAGCCGCTCCCAGCCACCACAGCCTCGACCCGCTGGCATCCGGCGATCCTTCCACCTCAGCCTTCCGAGTAGCCGGAATTACAGGCGTGCGCTACCACGCCTGGCTGATTTTTTTGATTTATTGTAGAGATGAGGTCTCGCCTGCCCAGGCGGGTCTTGAACCCGCAGGCTCAGGCAATCCACTCACCTCAGCCTCCCAAAGGCACGGGATTACAGGATGAGCCACCGATCCCAGCTAAACGACAGGGTTTTAAGAGAATGTTACTAGTTTGGATTATTGATACTTACAGAAAGCTTTTCCACATCTCCCTTTAAAACTCGTTCTAAGTAAAGCTGTTTAAGTTCTCGTTCCAACCGCGATGGCAGGCCAGGATACATAGTAGACCCTCCAGAAAGCACAATGTGTTTATAAAACTCAGATCTGAAAAGACACAATGGTTATTATTCATTTAGGGTTTCATATTAGGAAGATGGTGTCTCAGGGTTACTGTTACTTGTGAGCCTTGGGGTAAAATAAAATTCCACATGTAAATCACAGGGCTGAACATTTGCTGCCACTACTATTGCCAAGATAACAACCCCTCAATTTATATATGAATTCTTTTATAATTTTGATGAAAATACTTCTAAAAGCACATGATCTTGAGCCTTCTAATAATAACCAAGATTTATATTACAAACCTGTAGTATTTGGACTATGGTATCAGTGCTCCACTGAAGTCAGTGAGATGTGGCTGTTTATGGTAATTAGCCATATGGTAATTAGCCATATTCTATTATTATTTGATTCCTGCTTTTGAATTTTTTCATTTGCCTCTCGTAGTCTTCCTTTTTGCTCCTTGGCCTTGAGGCTGACTGTTATTTTTGGCTAGACTGACATGTCCAGTCTCCTCCTTCTTCCTTAAATATGTTGTTGGCTATGATACCAGATAATCAAATCTAAAATAACTTCATATGTAGTAAAAGTAACAGAATCTGTGTGAAGACCTTTGGAACTCTTCTCACAGTAAAGTTTGGGAGCTGAGTCACATTCATTCTGGCCTCATTCAAGCTGGCTTCCAGGTTTTTACTTGCTTTCAATGGCTAAGGCTACTGCAACTCTAGCTTCTAGAAAAGCACTGTTTTTGTATTCAATTGTCGAAGCATGCACTGTGAATGTAGCATAAGCCAAGCAGTTGACGTATGGCTAAATACAAGCATTTACACGTATACTTTCAATATAAAGAACACACAAAACAAAATTTGTGTAGTGCCAAATTCCAAAGCAAGATCTGTGGATAAAGTGCTAAATCTGACTCCTGTACTATAGGAATGCCAAAACTTTAATTATCACCAACAGGCATGCACTTCTCAACACACTTTTTATGTTAATGATCATCAAATCAAGGGACAAAAAACATTAATCCCTACCATGAGATTTTACCATAATCACCAAAGCCAGATGAGATTTTTGATCACCTTCCACTAGGTTTATAGTTTATGAGTCTACTGCTATTTTTATTAATTTCTATTATTATCCTGGCTTCCCAGCCATTCCATCAAAATTAATTATATGGTTATTTAATTCAGAGTTAAAAAAACAAACAACATTTACTTTACAAAAGGCTTCTGGGTGAATTCTTCTATAACCCGGCTATAAGGCATGGCTTTCTAACTATGACTCAAACTCTAGATGCAATAAAAAAAATCATAAATCTTTTCATAGGGCTAAATAAAAGCAGATTTTTGCATGGCCAAAAACATGAGCAAAGATAAATGGCAAACTGAGAGAAAATATCTGCAACAGAGCTCACAATTCACAAAAAAAAAAGATATTTAAAAAATCCTTTAAACATATAAAAACATGTTCAATTTTACTCTTTCTCTTTAAAAAAATTTTTTGAGTCAACGTCTCACTCTGGTGCCCAGGCTGAAGTGCAGTGGCACACTTATGGCCACCACAGCCTCGACCTGCTGGGCTCAGGTGATCCTTCTGTCTCAGCCTTCCAAGTAGCTGGAACTATAGGTGTGCGCCATTACATCCACTTGATTTTTAAAAAATTTATTGTAGAGACGAGGTCTCGCCAAGTAGCCCAGGCTGCTCTCGAACCCCTGGGCTCAGGCCATTCTCTTGCCTTGGCCTCCCAAAGTGCTGGATTACAGGCATGAGCCACCGCACCCAGCTTCAACTTCACTCTTAATGAAATAAATAAAAATTAAAATTACACAGAAATAATTCCTCACTCATCAGACTGGTAGAAAGATCAGAGAAAAGGCAAAACTCTCACAAAAGAAAACTTGGCAATAGCTAAGAAAAATACATGCATTTAGATTAAAACTAAAAAGCTTCTGCACAGCAAAAGAATCAACAGAGTGAACAGACAACCTATACAACAGGCAAAAATATCTGTGAGCAATACATCTGGTAAGGGGCTAAACAGATAGATAAATTGATATATCTAAAATATTTAAGGAACTCAGTTCAATAACAAGAGAGCAAATAACCAAGTTATAAACGAGATAAGAACTTGAGCAGACATTTCTCAAAAGACATACAAATGGCCAACAAGTATATGGAAAAAATGCTTAACATCCCTAATCATCAGGGAAATGTAAATTAAACCACAATGAGCTATCACCTCACACCTGTTAGAATGGCTACTATCAAAAAGAAGAGATATACATGTTGGCAAGAATGTGGAGAAAAGGGAATCTTTATACACGGTCAGTGGAATGTAAATTAGTACAGCTACTATAGAAAAGAATATGGAGATTCCTCAAAAAATGGAGCAGAACCCAAGCAAAACCAAATGATCCAACAATACCACTACTAGGAATACACCCAAAGGATTTGAAATCAGTGTGACAGCTGGGAGCAGTAGCTCACGCCTGTAATCCTAGCACTGTAAGAGGCCCAGGTGAGAGGATTGCTTGAGCCCATGGTTTTGAGACCAGCCTGGGCAACTTGGCAATACCTCATCTCTACAATACATCAAAAAATTAGCTGGGCGTGGTAGCACATGCCTGTAGTTCCAGCTACTTTAGAAGGCTGAGGCGGAAGGATCATCTGAACCCAGCAGGTTGAGGCTGGCAGTGGCTGTGAGTGTGCCACTGCCTTCCAGCCTGGGTGACAGAGACTCCTACTCAAAAAAAAAAAGAAAGAAAGAAAGAAAAAAAAAAGGGCCGGGCTGGGTGGCTCAGTCTGTAATCCCGCACCTTTGGGAGGCTGAGGTGAGTGGACTGCCTGAGCCCGTGGGTTCGAGACCCACCTGAGCAACTTGGCGAGACCTCATCTCTACAATAAATAAAAAATTAGTCGGGCGTGGTAGAGCGTGCCTGTAGTTCCAGCTAGTTGGAAGGCTGAGGTGGAAGGATCGCCAGAGCCCAGCAAGTCAAGGCTGCGGTGGCCAAGAGCGGCCACTGTACTCCAGCCTGGGTGACAGAGAGAGATTCCAACTCCAAAAAAAAAAAAGAAATCAGTATGACTATATAAAAGACTTTGTTCTTAGGAAACACAAACTTGTAAAGATAACTGATGCATTCAACCGACTCTCAAACGGTTCAGAAAAAAACAAAATGATAAAGCAAACACACAGAACAAAAAACTAATAAAATGGTGAAAATGGGTAAAGTGTATACACCAAGTGCTCTATATTATTCTTGCAACTTTTTTGTAAGTTTGAAATTATTTAAAAATAAATTTAAAGTGGCTTCTGAGGTGCAATGATGTAATAATGTATTTTGTTCAATATCTAGTACCACCCTATCAATACACATGAATCAGGTAATAGACAACTTGGTCATTCTAACTACTTACTTCCATCTATTTCTGATAAATAACTATTGAAATCACCATTTCCAATGTACCTGGTATCAATGTCAGCTGCCTGGATTGTGTTAAAAAGCAATTCAGCAACACCAACTCCCTCGACATTGATCAAGTGAGGCTGAAATAAAGCTTCTGGTGCTTCGAATCTCTCTCCCCCTACTTTGATAATGCGTCCATCCGGGAGCTAGAAACCAAGAATAACCAGGTACTAGTCAGCAAATGATCAAAACTTCCCAGTGTTCCCTAGAACACTAGTGCTTTTAAACACTGTGACCGATCAAAACCATTATAAGCAATAATTTATCCTAAAATATATGAAAATAAAATAAAATACATTTGAGATGGTTGCATTTTCATCATGCTCTGTTCTGCTTTTTAAAATGGTATCATCCCCAAAAATTTCAGGAATTTCTTGGAGAGATCACTCATGCATGAGTGTGTAACATTCTGTGTGTGCAGCAAAGCATAAACAGCACTGACCAACCACTGTATTCTGATTATTGCTGGTATGTGTCAAATGTTGCTTATTTTATAATTTTTTTTTTTTGGGTTGGAGTCTCACTCTATCGTCCAGACTGGAGTGCAGTGACCGCTCCCGGCCAGCGCAGCCTCGACCTGCTGGGCTCCGGCGATCCTTCTGCCTCAGCCATCCAAGTAGCCGGAATTACAGGCGCGCGCTACCACGTCCAGCTGATTTTTTGATTTATTGTAGAGATGAGGTCTTGCTGCCCAGGCAGGTCTCAAACCCGCGGGCTCAGGCAATCCACTCACCTCAGTCTCCCAAAGGCGCGGGATTACAGGCTGAGCCACCGAGTCCGGTTTATTTTATAATTTTAACACACTTGTAATTTTTTTTTTTTTTTTTTTGGTTGGAGTCTCACTCCATTGCCCGGCTGGAGTGCAATGGCATGCTCACAGCCACCCCAGTGTCGACCTACTGGGCTCAGGCGATCCTTCTGCCTCAGTCTTCCAAGTAGTTGGAACTATAGGCACACGCTACCACGACAAGCTAAGTTTTTTATTTATTGTAGAGATGAGCTCTTGCCAACTTGCCCAGGTTGTTCTCGAACCCGTGGGCTCAGGCAATTTTCTCACCTCAGCCTCCCAAAGTGCTGGTATTATTGGCTTGAGCCACTGTGCCCGGTCACAAAATTTTAAGAAAATAAGATTTAAGCAACAGGTCAGCTATTACAACATGACCTTGTACAGAAAACTCTTAAGTCATGTCATGTTCATATTTAATTAAACGAGAAATGTTAAGTAGAAACTCCCTCTCATACCACCTCACAATTTGCTGGATTGACCTAATAGGCATGCCCATATGTGCAAATTTCTATATGAGATACTAGAATTAGTTCTACATTTACATTGATGATAACTCACTTATTTATAATAATGTGATTAGAATAATTATACTTAGAGTCCAAAGCTGACTTAACAATGTGACAAAGTACCACAAAGCAAGCTCCTTTAAGGACTGACTCCATGCCTCCTATAACTGTTTATAGATACATGCAAAGAAATAACATTTTGCAAAAACTCCAGGATTATTTTTTCATAAATTCTATCATGCTTTTTAAAAAGTATACCAATCCAAAATTATACCCTCAAAAAACAAAAACAAAAAAAAGCCAAACAAACCCTAGGCCGGGTACGGTGGCTCAAGCCTGTAATCCCAGCACTTTGGGAGACCAAGGCAAGAGGATGGCCTAAGTCCAGAGGTTTGAGACCCACCTGAGCAACTTGGTGAGACCTCGTCTCTACAATAAGTCAAAAAATCAGCTGGGCATGGTAGCGTGTGCCTGTAGTTCCAGCTACATTGAAACCTGAGGCAGGATTGCCTGAGCCCAGTAGGTCGAGGCTGCGGTGGCCATGTGCATGCCACTGCACCACAGCCTGGGCGACAGAGTGAGACTCCAACTCAAAAAAAAAAAGAAAGAAAAAGAAAAAACCCTACAGTGAGTTCACATGCAGATGAAATCACCCAAGGTATCTGGAAACACTTCACATAGTAGATCTTATTAGCAAAACCTCTTTCCCTTTGTACTTCGAGGCTTTTTTCCATGCTCTGGCTGCTGGCCAGCATGAGGTCAGGTTTTCCAACAGCCCTAGTAAACTGTTAACACTAAGTTTAGACAACCCATTTCTTTTGCACCAAATCTTATCCTATCCTGTGTTTGTCCATGCTTATCTTACCCCTCTTCACTTATTCATCAGTTTATTTTTATACTTGTATATATTTTTATAACCTACCTCAAATTATTTAAGAAAGGGGGAAAACAGCCAGGCTCTGTGGCTCGGCCTGTAATCCTGCGCCTTTGGGAGGCTGAGGTGAGTGGATTGCCTGATCCCAAGGGTTCGAGACCTGCCTGGGCAGCGAGACCTCATCTCTACAATAAATCAAAAAATCAGCCAGGCGTGGTAGCGCATGCCTGTAATTCCGGCTACTTGGAAGGCTGAGGCGGAAGGATCGCCGGAGCCCAGCAGGTTGAGGCTGAGGTGGCCAGGAGAGTGTCACTGCACTCCAGTCTGGGCGACAGAGTGAGACTCCAACTCAAAAAAAAAAAAAAAAAAAAAAAGGCTTTTACTGCCTATTACTCTATTTCATTTTAGCAATAACTAGATAAAAGATGAGACATGGAAGTATTTTATACTCAGAAAAATTTAATAGGCCTAAGACGGTAATTCGTTTAAAAAACAGGTAGGATCAATTCCTCTGGTATAAATTATAGCTAGCTTCCAAATTTTATTTTTATTTATTTATTTATTTATTTTTTGAGTTGGAGTCTCACTCCATCGCCCAGGCTGGAGTGCGTGACACACTCACAGTCACCCCAGTGTCGATCTGCTGGGCTCTGATGATCCTCCTGCCTCAGCCTTCCAAGTAGCCAGAACTACAGGCGCGCGCTAACATGCCTGGCTAATTTTTTTATTTATTGTAGAGACCAGGTCTCGCCAAGTTGCATGGGCTGGTATTGAACCCACGGATTCAGGCAATCCACTCGCCTCGGCCTCCCAAAGTGCTGGGATTACAGGCTGAGCCACCAAGCCCAGCCAGCTGGTTCCAAATTTTTTAGTTACAATTTCAAGTTGACATTTGTCTTTGAACATCTCATTAAAAAAATATTAAGTTCGCCAGGTGGGGTGGCTCATGCCTCCCAGTACTTTGTGAAGCCAAGGTGAGAGGATTTCCTGAACCCACAGGTTTGAGACCAGCCTGGGCAACTTGGCGAGACCGCATCTCTACAATAATGTAAAAAAAAAAAAAAATAGCTGGGCATGGTGGCACGTGCCTTTAGTTCCAGCGGCTTGGAAGGCCGAGGCAGAAAGGTCAGTTGAGCCCAGCAGATCGAGGCTGCAGTGGCCATGAGTGTGCCACTGCACTCTAGCCTGGTCGACAGAGTGAGACTCCAACTCAAAAAAAAAAGAAAGTCAGAAAAGGCTGCCACTTACTGAATTAGTAAAACAATAACTCTAGAATGACCACTTCCAAGGTGTGTTTCTTAAACCACTCATTACTAGTCCCATGAAATTCTAAAAAGTCTTATAGTATAAGAAGTTTGAGAAATATGCATACTATATTCTCACAGTTATATACAGAGAAGTTCTATGGTAAATTGAAATCCACTATCTTCCAAATTTAGGTGACAATCTTAAAAAATTTTCGTAAACATTTATTAACATCCCAGAGAAATAATATTCTGTAAACCTATGTTGAAAAATGCTATTCCAGATACTAGAATCGAAACCTCTTATATCTAGTCATATCCTAGTGCAGATAGTAATTTGTAATTCTTGTCTTAATCTTCATTATATGGCATCCTAAAATAATTTAATCATAGAACCTTAATGTAACACATGCATATATTACAACAATTCAAAACCAAAACAGTGATTCCACAAGAACCTACCTACGCTGATAACAATAATCATGACTGTCCATTTTTAAAAACATATATATTATATACTGGAAATACTTACTGTGTAAGATTCAACTAATACTGTGGTTTCTAAGGCCAGTTTCTGCTCTTGCTCAATGTTATATCCCACATAACACAGTTTTTCTTTAATCATGCGAACTGTTTCAAAATCAGCAGAATGGTTGAAAGCGTATCCTCGCAACAGAAGGAGCTGGTACAACAAAATAACAGTAAGTTCATAATAGATCTGAATGAGTTCCATTTGGCAAAAGCTATTAATGCTCACTAAAATATGTTACATTAATAACAAATACAATGGGTAGTGGATCTTCAGTTTCTACTGAATATTTCAGAAGTAGGATTTTACCTGCCATAACGGATTTATATTTCAGGTTCACATAGAGTAAAAGCATTAAAAGTTCATGAATAATAAATGGATAAAATGAACTAGAAAAACAAGTCATTATTGTTTTTGTTTTTTTTCAGTTGGAGTCTTACTCTGTCGCCCAGACTGGAATGCAGTGGCTCCCGGCCACCGCAGCCTCAACCTGCTAGGCTCCGGCGATCCTTTCGCCTCAGCCTTCCAAGTAGCTGGAACTACAGGTGCGCGTTACCACGCCCGGCTAACTTTTTTTGATTTACTGTAGAGATGAGGTCTCGCCAAGTTGCCCAGGCAGGTCTCGAACCTGCGGGCTCAGGCAATCCACTCACCTCAGCCTCCCAAGGCGCAGGATTACAGGCTGAGCTACCGAGCCCGGCCATGTCACTTTTCAACAAGAGCACTGTATGTGTACTCAAGTTTAGTTTTGATAAACAATCAGAAGTGTATTAATGAATAAATATTTTTTAGTACTAGACTCCTGTAGTCTTCAATTTGCTCAAACAGATCAGTACCATATTTATGAAATGCCCCTAGGTCTTAAAAAGTTTTATCATTAGCTTCTAGTTCTATGTCTGGCTCATATCAGAAAGGCAATAGGATTTGTTTAACAAATGATAAGATAATTGTTGGGATACTCAAAGGTGTAATCTTTAGTCTTATATTTCTTTTTTTTTTTTTTTTTGAGTTGGAGTCTCACTTGATCACCCAGACTGGAGTGCAGTGGCCGCTCCTGGCCACCGCAACCTCGACCTGTTGAGCTCCGGTGATCCTTCCGCCTCAGCCTTCCAAGTAGCCGGAATTACAGGCATGCGCTACCACGCCCGGCTGATTTTTTTTATTTATTGTAGAGATGAGGTCTCGCTGCCCAGGCGGGTCTCGAACCCGCGGGCTCAGGCAATCCACTCACCTCAGCCTCCCAAAGGCGTGGGATTACAGGCTGAGCCACCGAGCCCGGCTTATATTTCTTAAATACTAGAAATTATTACTGTTTTAAAAGCAACCTGCTGAAAAGAAAAATAAATATGTATCATAAACACAACTAGACTTTTCAAATAAAAACTAAAAGACTCCCCGAATTTTTGTTGGTTACTCACTAACTTTATCTTCCCATGTAATAAGAAATACTTTAAATGAGACTGAAGAATCAAGATGAAATCAACACAACCCAATTTAATGCACAGACAGACTTTCTCAACGGAAGCACCACTGACATTTTAGACCATAATAAATTCCTTGTTGTCGAGTTGGCCGTATTCACTGTAGAATGTCTGGTCATATCCCTAGCCAGGTGTGACAACCAAAATGTGTCTAGACGTTGCCAGTATCTCCTGAAGGGAACTGGGGAAATAGCATTTTCCTAGCCACTGGTTAAGAATCACTGACCTAGAGAGAATATGCTGATTATAGAACGCTGGTATAAATAATATTCTATTTTGGGGGGGGTCAGGGTCTCACTCTCACCCAGGCTGAAGTGCAATGGCACAATCACAGTTCACCATTGCCTTGACCTCCTGGGCTCAGATGATCCTCCTGTCTCAGCATCCCAAGTGCAGAGACTACAGGCATGAGCCGCTGTGCCCAGCCTAAACTTTTTTAGCATTAAAAAAAAAAGTCTACATATGTTACTAAGTAGAGGCCTGTGTACTTCCTCCAGCAACTTTTTTTTTTTTTGAGCCAGGATCTCACTCTGTTGCCAGGTTGGAGTGCAGTGGCACAATCATGGCTTACTGCAGCCTTGACCTCCTGGGTTTAGGTGATCCTTCCCTTTCAGCCTCCCTAGTAGCTATGACTATAGGTGCACACCTGGCTAATTTTCCAAAAACAACTAATTATATTCAGAAGCAAACTTTAAAATAATAAACACTAAAAACTGAACATGCTCCCTGAAAACTACTAGAATTAAAGTCTGGTACATCTAGGCCCTGTTTTTCTCAAATATCATTAAGTTGCTATCATTGTACTTTGTAGAAAAGGACAAGAAAAGGCAACCCAACCGAGATTTTGGTGTAAAATATATCTGTTCAAAGAAATGTTTTAGGATAAAAAAAGCTGCCCAAGTTGTCCAAGGTTCAAGGTTTCTCCCACTTTTGAAATATCTATCTGCCCATTCCTCAGAAATAACAAATATAATTATGTAATGATTATATTTATTATTTGTTATATATCTCATTAGTATACCAGAGATCATGTGTCTCATGTGAATTTTTTCTTTTTTTTTTTTTGAGTTGGAGTCTCACTCTGTCGCCCAGACAGGAGTGCAGTGGCCGCTTCCGGTCACTGCAGCCTCGACCTGCTGGGCTCTGGCAATCCTTCCGCCTCAGCCTTCCAAGTAGCTGGAACTTCAGGGCATGCTACCACGCCTGGCTAATTTTTTGATTTGTTGTAGAGATGAGGTCTCATCAAGTTGCCAGGCGGGTCTCAAACCCGCGGGCTTAGGCAATACACTCACCTCGGCCTCCCAAAGTGCTGGGATTACAGGCTGAGCCACCGAGCCCAGCCTTCATGCGAAATTTTGTATGAATAATGGGGTAATTTCTCTAGTGCAGATTTGCTAGAATCTTAAAATGACACACTCAATTTTGTGTTAAGTTGATAAACAAACTAGAAAATCTAATTTGTATGGTATTTTCCTTTTGCTTACCTTGATAAGGTATCTGGTAATATCCCTCCCCGCAATATCCAATCTCCTGGTAAGGTGAGGGAGTGAAAAGCCTTCATACACTGGGCAGATGTGAGTTACACCATCTCCAGAGTCTACCACTACACCAGTCAATAAACCTGCATGCAGGAGGTTTTAAATAAAAAGTCAAATCAGAAAAATCAAAGCCAGCAAGTTTAAATACAGTATAGAAGTCAAAATAGAAGTTTAACCAACTGGAAAGGTCTAGAAACCAGAATTTCTTTTTTATTTACTTATTTTGCAGTTTGTTTCTAATGCATAGATACTGAAGTAAGTGTTCTCTTGAGACTTTTAGTCTAATCACAGCACTACCCAAGTAGGTGAGAAGAAACCACCCTTGAGACCAAAGGCTAAAAAACAGAGCATGTTCTTAAAGCTCAAAAATAGCCTTTACTTTCTTTCCAACTTAATCTTGATCACAGAGTCCCCCGGAAGGGAAATTTCCTAAAGCATCATGAAGAGATTTTATGAAAACCACTGTGAAAAAGGAACAGTACATGATGTTACAAAGTTGATAAGTGAATCTGTTGAAGTTATCCTGTTCTTTATTATTATTTTTGTCACACAGTATATCCAAATCTCTGTGTTATTTTGGAAAAATGCCTATTGATACTAGATAACTAGGAAACCGAGAAGAATTAATCTTGGCTAGCCAAATAATCACTTCCATTACTCACCTGAAACTCAGAAGGCAATGTCAGTGAAACTTTGTAATGAAACAACAGCACTGTTTCATTACAAAGCTGCCTTGTTTCCTTATGAGCTATTTAAAAGTAGAAATGCCAGTCTGGGAAACGTGGTGAGACCCCTCATCTTTACAAAAAAGTTAAAAAATTAGCTGGGTATAGTGGCGTGCACCTATAGTCCTAGCTACTCAGGAGGCTGAGATGAGAGGATCACCTGAGCCTTGGAGTTTGAGGTTACAGTGAACTGTGATTGTACCACTAGATTCCAGCCTGGATGACAGAGAACTTGTCTCTAAAATAAAATAAAAAATAAAAGTAGAAATGGCCACAAAAGGTTAGTGTTCTATCTTTTGCACAAACCAGAGTTGATTCAAGGGGAAAAACTTTTTAATTCACATTTTTTAACAGAAAAAAGTTATTTTAACCAGAATATGCATTATCTGTAATTCTAGCATTGTTTCATTAATTTTCCATTCCTGAATAGACTCTCTCCCTTTCACTTTCTTATACAAATTTGCATGCACTGTAAGTATCTAATAGTAATGATTTATCTTTGGACACATGTATTCAAATCACCTCCTTTTTAAGTTGATATAACTTATCTTTCCTTGAAAAATGCTGACTCACAAAACTCATATACTGCCTTTAATATTGTAATCTTAAATAAGAGACTTTCCACAGCCAAAAATAGAAAAAAATCCACATAATAAATTCAAAAATATTCCCAGTAACTTTGGGAGGCTTAGGTGGGAGGACTGTCTGAGCCTAGGAGTTTAAGCCCAGCCTAAGCAACATAGTCAGACTCTGTCTCTATAAAAAATTTTAAAAAAATTAGCAGGGTGGGCTGAGGTCAGTGGATTGCCTGAGCCCATGGGTTCGAGACCCGCCTGGGCAGCGAGACCTCATCTCTACAATAAATCAAAAAATCAGCTGGGTGTGGTAGCGCATGTCTGTAATTCCGGCTACTCGGAAGGCTGAGGAAGAAGGATCACCGGAGCCCAGCAGGTTGAGGCTGCGGTGGCCGGGAGCGGCCACTGCACTCCAGTCTGGGCGGCAGAGTGAGACTCCAACTCAAAAAAAAAAAAATTAGCAGGGGTGTGCCTGTAGTAGCAGTTACTCAAGAGGCTAAGGTGGGAGGATCTCCTGAGCCCAGGAGGTCGAGACTGTGGTGAGCAGTGATTGTGCCACTGCACTCCAGTTTGGGCGACAGAGCCAGATGGGACTTAAAAAACAAAAACAGAAAATCCCAACAAAAAACCCCCACAATCCCAATAACATCAACCAAAGCGGGAATTTACATTTTATTTCTCAAACAGATCTTCCTGCCAACCTTGCCTTATTTTCTACCATTCCTGTCAGGTTACATACTGTACTAGCCTTTCCCAAACACACTTGACTCAATTCCAGTGCCACACCCTTTTGTCACTGGATTTTCCCCTTCTTTCCACTTTAACTCCTACAAATTCATTAAGGCTAAGTCAAATTCTTATCTTTTCATTTCTGCCTCCCTTGACCACTCTAGCCTCCAGTCCACATTACCTAATTCCAGTTATTCCCCTCAATCCAGTCTGTAGCACATATCAAGCATACCTTCCTAAATCACCACGTTATTTGTTAAATTCAAAAACCTTCTGCAGCCCTGAATGCTTCTTCCTATTTTTATGTATTTATTTTACTGTTAGTACTAGCTACCCTGTTTAGAAGAAAGAGAATCTTACCATAGTTTGGGGTTAACTTGGTTAAAATTACTGGACTATTATTTCTCAAAATTAGGAATTCAATAGTTAAACAAAAATAGTTAAATTATCAAGAATTAGAGGAAATCTTCTCATTGAATGAAAATAAGTTCACAAATGCTGCTGGAAAAATCTGTTCAGGTCAAATTTTTTCAAATATAATTCAAACAAGATTCAGTTCAGCAGAACTGTCCCACCATCACACCCCTAAATAGAACTCTTTTTGCAGATTTCAAGTTTAGACTCAAAAATTTTTACAGTTTTTTTTAAAAAATGAAATAAAATCACCTAGATGTAAACAAGCACTCCCTTCTGCCAAGCGTGGTGGCTCACACCTGTAATCCCATCACTTTGGGAGGCTGGGATTATGGGAAGATTGTTGGATCCCACGGGTTTGAGACCAGCCTGAGCAACTTAGTGGAATCTTTCTTTACAATAAGTCAAAAAATTAGCCGGGCACAGTGACACACGCCTGTGATTCCTATTTTTCTGACTCAGAAAAACAACAACAAAATAATTTTCAAAGTTATAAAACAAGCAACCCAAGAAAAGAATCCCATCATTTCTTTCTTTTTTTTTTTTGAGTAGAGTCTCATTCTGTCATCCAGGCTGCAGTACAGTGGCATACTTACAGCCACCACAGCCTCAACCTGCTGGGCTCAGGCAGTCCTGTTTCATCCAGTCTTCCAAGTAGCTGGAACTACAGGCATGTGACACCATGTCTGGCTAATTCATTTATTTATTTAGAGAAAAAGTCTCCCCTCGTTGCCCAGGCTGGTCTCAAACCTTCAGGCAATCCTCTCGCCTCACTGCCCAAAGTGCTGGGAATATAAGCGTAAGTCACCATGCCTGGCCAGGATCCCATCATTTCTAAGTACTAAAGTCCACACTGCTTAAGTAGTGAGACTTAGACTCAGCTCAGGTGTCACTTCCTTCAGAGAGGATTTCTGACATACTAAAGCAAAATTATACATATGTTTCTTTCCTTCCCGTAAGTTGCTTGAGGGTATCTTTATACTGCAAATGCCTAAAAGATTCCTTGGCACATACAGTATTTGACAGCCTCATAAATTCTCAGTAAGTTCCTGTTGAGTTTATAAGACCAACAAAAAATATAACAAGTTCTCCCCACCTAGCCAATATTTTATTCCCAATGAACAGTGAGGCAGTTGCTAATGGCAATACCAAGAAAATATAGTAGTCCTTTCCATCAAATCTGCCTTGAAAGTTAGACATGCATTCCCAAATGTCTACCTTTCAATCTATTATATATTTACCAGGCATGATTTTACACTAACTTTTTGGGATCTCTGAGTATTTTTTCTGAGGAAAAATCCCATGTTTATTTTCTACTGAATAAAAAAATTACAATAGTTTGAAAGAGAAAACATTCTGTTTTTTTAAAAATTCTCTTTTAAGCCAGGCTCGGTGGCTCAGCCTGTAGTCCCGTACCTTTGGGAGGCTGAGGTGAGTGGACTGCCTGAGCCCGTGGGTTCAAGACCCGCCTGGGCAGCAAGACCTCATCTCTACAATAAATCAAAAAATCACCCAGGCGTGGTAGCGTGCGTCTGTAATTCCGGCTACTTGGAAGGCTGAGGCGGAAGGATCGCCGGAGCCCAGCAGATAGAGGTTGCGGTGGCCAGGAGCGGCCATTGCACTCCAGTCTGGACAACAGAGTGAGACTCCAAACTCAAAAAAAAAAAAAAAAAAAAATCTTTTAATCTTAAACCCTTCATTGTTTGGTAAAGCAAATAAAAATGCAAACAAAATCTTATTTGACAAATTTGAGAAATTATGAAAATATTTTAAAATGTGGAATTTAAATAATGTACTATTTTTGGAATTTAAAACTTATGGAGAAATCAAATTTCTTGACATAAAATGTATGTAACATATGTTTGCTGAATTGATTTTTCTAAAAGTTAAGCTTCACTTACCTTGAGCATACAAAGTCAGAACTGCCTGAATGGCTACATACACACCAGAAAACTGGTAAGTTTCAAACATTACCTGAAAATGCAAAGAGAGAAACAAAATTGGTATTCAGAAAGCTACATAATATTTATATGCTTTCTTCATGGTCACAGAGGGGATTAGTTGCCCTAAATAGAAGCAAAAAGACCTGAAAGAGTTCTCCATTCTCATCAACTCATCTTGCTTCTATTAAAGTCCTCCTATTATTATTCACAATAGCAAAAACATGGATCCAATTGTGCTGCCCAACAAAAACGGACTAGATTAAAAAATGGGGTAAATACACATGATGAAATATTACGCACAAAATTATGAACTTCACAGTAACTTGGATGGACTTAGAGGCTATAATACTGAGTGATATCACAGAAACAAAGAACCAAATATAACATGTTCTCACTCATAGGCGGACCTTGAACAACTATCGTAATGCTACAAGAAAGGAATTGGCAGTTGTGGGAAATTGCCAGGGGAGGGAGGACACACCTCATCAACAAGGGTACATTTGTATAGTTAACCCTGAATTGTACCCTACATATTTAAAATAAAAAATTTAAAATGAAAAAATTAAGTCCTGCTGTCACAGAGCTCCAATTCTGAGGACAGATCTTTGGATAATACATATAAAGTACCAAAGCATTTCATAAGTGCTACAAAGCAAAGACTTCTGAGTATATTAGTTAATGGCTAATTAGTGCAAAAGAAAGCTTTCTGCCTTTGAACGAGAATTTCTTAATTGATATCCCTTAAGGGAAATACCTTTTAATTCAAAGACAAACTACAGAAATTGCTTAATTACCGAGCCTTCCACCCACTTTCTCAATCTGGGCCAGGACTGTGGCTCTACCCCAAGCAGTTAAAAAATAAAAAGAAAAGGAAAAAAAGGAAAGGTAAATGCAAAATTAAAGGTTAACTCCTGATTGCAGGAGGACACAGAAACAGCTTAGCTGCAGAGCGCACCATCCCTACTTGAGCCAAGGCTGCAATTCAACCCCTCACTGAACTCCCTAGGAAGGAGTAGTAGTTTCCTTGTGCCCTCACTGGTCACACCCAGGTTCATTCTCTGTTCCTTGTGCCCTCACTGGTCACACCCAGGTTCATTCTCTGTGGCTGGGAATATCCTGCATGTTTTTTGGGGGAATCTATAGTGAGTATTCCTTGATTGGTAGGACTGCTTATCACTCTGAATATCTAAATATTTAGACATTTTACAACTGACCACAAGAATTATATAAAACTCTAAAAAACACACTCATCAATTAAGCAACTCGATATTCTGACTAGTATTCTAGTCCATCATCCTTTATTCCTCTTCCATAGGGATGCAAATGAATAATATATATGCACATATCAACTTGAATCCTCATCTCTACAATAAAATCAAAAATTAGCCAGTAGCGTGCACCTATAGTTCCAGCTACTTGGAGCTAGGCAGAAGGATCGCTGGCACCCAGCAGGTCAACGCTGGGGTAGCCGTGAGCCTGCC